GATGTAATCAGGGGCCAGTCCATTCAGAGCTTTGTAAGTTAACAACAATATTTTGAAAATAATCCTAAAATGAACTGGCAACCAATGTAAGCTCCTTAGCATTGGTGTGATGTGTTCCTGCCTTCTAGTCAAGGTAACAAGGCGAGCTGCTGAGTTCTGTACAAGCTGCAGTCTATTAATCAGATACTTTGGAAGGCCGTACAGTAGGGCGTTATAGTAGTCCAAACGCGATGTTATATAAGCGTGAACAATAGTCTCAGTAGTACGCTGGGATAGGTATCGCCTAATTTTAGCTATACTACGAATGCGGAAAAATGCGCTCTTGCAGGTTATTTTAACGTGATCTTTGAAATCCAAACATTGATCGAATGCAACTCCTAAATTCCTGGCCTGTTTACTAGATTTTATTACTTCATCACCAAGTCGTATATAGTCGAGGGGTGCTCGTGGACGATATTTAGAACTAATAACCAAAAGTTCAGTCTTATCCTGATTTAACTTAAGTTTGTTGCGCAGCATCCAGTCCCTAATGTCCTTCACACATAATTCTACTGCCATCTTTGAGCTTGATAGGTGATTAGGACAGTTGGACGTAAACGACAAGTACAACTGTGTGTCATCTGCATAGAAATGAAACGGTATCCTATGCTTTCTGGTAATGATATGAACTTACGCACAACATGGTATTAATTCCGCCTGAACCGCGTTAAACACAGATTTATTAAAAGACCGCTCTTTTGTCCTTCTAAGGTGGCCAGGCTTGTTCCAGACCTAGTTTTCAAAAACGCACCATATTATACATACAAAGGTTCTCTTACCACCCCTCCCTGTTACGAATCCGTCCAGTGGATTGTGATGATAAACCCGATATCGGTCACCGAGTCCCAGGTAAGGTCGCTCGTTCAAGGGTTAAAAATGAATGAATGAATGAATGAATGAATGAATGAATGAATGAATGAACGAATGAATGAACAGTCCGATAAAATTCCATGGTAGTTCATCGTCTGGCGGACTCTCTGTAACTACAATGTATCTCACATCCTATTGAATAAGCTGAAAACTGCGAAAGCTTTACTTCACTGAGATCTTTTTCTCGGTGGTTGGAAGGTTATTCTCCTTGAGTGTGCAATCAGTTATAATACCAGGCACCTGGTTAAGCAACTGAAAAGTTGCTCTAAAGCTAACAAGATATTTCTCTCACGGCCAATTCGCAAAGGAGAGCAGCTACAGTACAATTAACTATAAAGTACGTTAAAAACGTTTTCATTAAAATATAGAATGTGTATGTTATTTCGTCGTTCGCCTTTTATGAACTATTATTTCGTTCGCCTTTTATTAATGAATAGCACTAAAAGAGTAAGCCCTCTCGAAGAAGTGGGGATGGGGACGAGGTGAGATAAACAGGAGCTAGCCAGAGTTAGAACCAGTAATAATACTAATCGTTTATTTTTAAAAGACTGCCGGAAATGTCCGCCAAATGATTTGTTGTCGCTTTCCAGTTCATAGGTCCTCGCGTAATGCTCCCCAGGGGAATAGGTTTCATACTATTCTGGATTAGCACACGGTCGACAGGAATGCGTACAAGAGAGTACAAAAACCTAACAAAAGAAATAATTAAAGCGAAAAAGCTGTGAAAACACTCGCCTAACGACCCTAACGGCTCGTGTCCCCACAGCATTTCTCGTTCTCCCAAACTTTCACTTGCGTTTTTATAACTCGAAAGAAACACTGAAAACATGTTTTCTATTTCTTAAATATCATTACGGGGAAGACGCAGTTCGGGAAAAAACATGACGAGTATCCAATGCACATCAGTTGGGGGTTGTATTCTTAGACTCCGCCACAGGAACCTCAGGGCGGGTTAATAAAACATGGCTGCAATGGCAGTGGTAACGTATTCTTCTCAACAACACACTCACTAGGCTATTCAGGGGGTCGGGCCCGACTGTAAAGTTTTTCAGTCAAGGATACTCCATAAAGCTTCGCAGCATCATCCGTGACAATGCGGATTTTGTCCGGCATGTTGAGATTTCGGACTGTCCCAGTCTCGGGCCGAGGTTGGGGCAGATGCCACCCGAGGAGGAAGTTTCCAAACGTTCTTCGTTACGCGTTGATTTCGCTTTCCATAGACTTCAGCCGTTTTCCAGCCATAGAGCGGTTTTCAAGAAACTGTACCCCTTGTTCTGCTCATGGCATTTCGATTTCATGTGTGCGACACACATGGTTCGCGGTTCTCTCAATATTGTATTCAAGAGAACGGATTTTTTCCCCTACCAGTCTCGACAATGATTTTCTAGCATTTAGGACACAGCGCACATGTATATCATCTGGACGCTCAGGTTTCTTGACTGACTTGACGGAACTAGCGGGGATCATGCCAAGGATTGCGAAAATCACAACAGGTTGCCCTGCACAAACGCTTTGCATATCATGCTGTAATATTGTCTAAAATGCTTTTGCCACGAGCAGAATTGTCAAGTCTTCGGAATCGACTTAAGGGAAATTCAGATCGATCAGGTGCAGAACATCTTGCATCATGGTATGCGTAACCCTTTGAGGGAGCAGGTTCAACTCTGGCACTGTCCAAGCTTCCTCTAAGGCTATCTGGACACCTGTATTTACTCTTTCAACCCACCGGCGTGGAACGACACTTTTCTCGAACGTCCTTTTTCACCAGACAAGTACGGGTGCTGCAGCATTCAAAAAACGAAACGTGCCCTGTTCAGAGATGGTTGTTTTTTTTTTTATGCATGCAATCAGAGATTGGTGGTCTACTGAATTGAAGCAAGAAAAGCACAACTTTTTTTCCTTGCTCAACTGTACTCACTTATTTATTTCTATCGCTTTGAAATTTGTCGCACTTGTCAATTGGGTGTTTTCTGATGCTACCAGACAGGTCTTAGCTATGGGTGAGGCCTGATTCCTTTTCGTAGCACCCGTAGTTAGGGTTAAGAATCTATGAGGTCGTTCTTGATCTCTACTTCGTGTGGGGGGTCGTCCATCACCAGTTCTCCTACCCTGTGACGGCTTACTGAAATTTGGTTAAGGGTGCACTGACTAAATTGTTGCCATTTGTCAAGATCAACTAGTGTTGAGATGGTGGGATGTATCTCACACTCCATTTAATGGATCCGGCAATTTCTGTACAAAAATGAATTTTAAGTTGAAGACATCAAATTCTGTGAGTATTCCATCTAAACTGTTCATCGTGGTGACTTCTGATAACAAGTTTTTTGGGAGCTTAAGTTGTTATCCTGCTAACTGTTGGCTTTTTTATGGTCATGAATATCTGCAAATTCTCCCCTCACAGACTGCATTGTGCAGCTTGTTGTCTATTGAACGAGTTTATGGTATCTCTCCCCAAAAAACAAACGGGTGATTAAGTAGTCCTCATAGAAGCTTCAGCACCGAACAAGTTTCTCATTTCCAAATTATTCTTCAAGTTATATCAGGGTTGCTTTGTAGAGATGACCATGACAAAGAATGTCTGGAGGTAGGTGATTCAAAACATTTAGAAGAGTTTATTACCACACATTATTTATTTTTTTTATATTATTATTACGTTTTTTTAATTTACAAACAGTTTACAACATACAATAAGTATCTAATTACTTAACAATAATTTTTTTGTGAGCCTAATTACTTCACAACTTCACGTAAATCTATGGGTTAGTAAACGTAATGAAAAGAGAAGACAAGAAAAGTAAAGCAGAAAAGACGAAAAATAAATAAAGGTTACAAAAGAAATCTATATATAGTCTTGAACTTTGTAATTTTGTTATTATGAACAACAATTTCCCGTTGTATATTGATTTTTTCTCTTAGAAGCGTGAGATAACTGTCAAAACAAAGCTTTTTTTCTTGTAAGCAGCTACTATATATGGAGTACTTTGCTACAAGAAGTGAGTAATTCAAGGAGTAAAGGTGTTCTCTATTGTTGAAAATTCCGTACAGAATCATGTTCTCTGTTAATGTGAGATTTTCTTTAGTTTTGCTAGTCCACCATGTTTGGAATAAGTCCCAGAAGGATAAACTTAATTGACAGCGCAAAAACATATGATCTAAGAAATGCCTGCCAGCAAGACATTGGGGGCATGTATCATCATCACATATCTTGGCTTTAAAGAGACTGACTTTTGTAGGAAGAATATTATGAATAATCTTATATTGAAACACTGTTGTTTTTATCTGGAAAGGTAGTTCGTACACTCTGTGAATATTATATTTTATTTTTTTCTCAAGCATCTGAGCGGGCCGGATTCCTAAATCCTCGAATTTGATTGGCTAATCTTACGCACGTGACCGGTCCAGCTTTTTACGATACGGCCCACGGGCCGGATTTTTTCCCGGCTACCTAAATTTCGCTCCTAAAAGTTTAGCGGTAATCGTTAATCTTTTGCCTTTTTTACACATCCATCGACGATTAGTCAACGCAAGTTTATCTCTGTTCACTTTAAAATGGCTAGGAAAGTCATTGTAAGTAAATTCAATTGAGTGTTTTGAAGTTACGAGAGTTTGCTTGGTTGTTTGTACCTTGGCGCCGTAATGGCGCGTAATCTTGTGTTTCTCTCGCCGTAAAATTTGAGTCAATTTCAGCGAGTTTACCTCTCTGATCGTTGCTGTATTTGGGAGAATTTCTGTGGAATACACTTAACAAATTTCCTCCCTTTTTGCTATTCGATTTGCGGTAGAAAAGTCTGATTTCAAGTGATTTTAAAAGCAACGACTGACAGAAACTGTTTTGGTAGTAAAACTTCGAACTTCGCACGAAATTTCACACCGCAAAAAGCAATTCTGGAGAACTTAACTGGTGAAATAAATGCAACCAACATAAAGCAGTTCGAAAAAAATCTGCTCTTTAATACATCTTTCTTTGTCCACTATCTGAGTTACTCGCTCGTTGCGAAGAGCTTTTTACAAATCGTTAGTAGACAGCGCGGAAACCGATTCAATGACAAAGTTGCGTAAACAAACCCATTTGTAATCTGTAAAACCAATTTACCGCAGGAAAAAAAATAAACATATTATTTGCCGGCTTAGGGTCGTTCCGTATAGTGAAAAACTGTGACCTCGGGCTTGAAAATGCTGCCCTCGGCTTGCGGCCTCGGGCAGCATTTTCAAGACCTCGGTCACAGTTTTTCACTATACGGAACGACCCTAAGCCGGCAAATAACATGTATGAATAAAACCATATCTAATAATTCTGCTCTCGGCGGTTGGGGATAAGAAGACTTTTTTTAGCATAATAGAATAAACGCTTTTGGTGGAAACTTTTGTTGTGTTGTTTTCATTTTCCGCTACGTGCGAAGGAGTCCTTTTTATTGCCAGCTTCCAAGGGGCCGGCACAGAATTAATTAAGCCGAAATAAAGAGTGAAGGGGTTTCGAGATAAAATTTTTCAGAGAAAAGATTGAAAGGAAGGAAGTTACCGTTATTATCGAGGAGATCTTCAACCCGTAGAATGTTTTTTTGTCTCTAGCCAGCTTTTATAAAAGGGTGCTGTACCATCTATTATTATGTTGTGATTATTCCAAATTATTTCGTTGCGGGGGGAAGTATTCTTTTGAAAAGCAGACCTCGTGTTTTGCCAATATTTTAAGATATAGAAGTCTGGGAGTTTGCTAAATCGCAAGAACTTGACGTCATGGTTGCATTGTGAAAAAAAT